GGTGATAAAATAAAAACCTCTGTGAACTGCTAAAACAAAAGAAACTAAGGTCCAAAAGGGAGACCTGGAATGAGCCAGAGATAGTTTACAAAAAATATAAAAGCACTTATTGCCTGAGAAGAAGCTTCCAAGCTGGAGCAGAGAGACAAAGTTCTCAGCTGCTCAAAGGGGGTGGGGAAAGGGTGAGGTATTTATACATATTTGAGGTATTTTATGACTATTTGAGGTATTCATGGCTAAGTGGGGGTTAAGGGAGAAACATAATAAGTCAGGAAGGCAGAGGTGAAGTGGGGATCTAGGGAGAAGATATCTGTAAACAATAAATCAGAAAGCAGGATATTTGCTGCTCTTTCAATAAGTCAGAAGGCAAGATGTTTGCTGCTCTCTCTGAGCTCGTCAAGACTGGTTTCAGCCATTACAGGCATCTCTGAGTTCAGATAAAGTTTACTTACAAAGGATCACCGGTATGTTAAGCAGCCCTGGGCTTCAGAAATCCTCCTGATTGGCTAGTGGTTGTGCTACTCCATTGTCTGGTTCTCCTGTGAAAAAGAGAAGCTCTAGCATATTTAATCAGTATAGGTATTACAGAACTCATGTTCATATTGGCTACACAGTAGAAGAATATGTTTGTTTTTTCTATCTCTAAATTCTTCCCATTCTTCCTGGATCTCTCCAGCTCTGGAGCATGACCATTTAGTTATGTAGTTTCAACACAGGGAGAAGACAATAACCTAAATCAACTCCTGTAGAAGATAAGGGCAAAACCTTAAGAATCATCCCTCAATAAAAAGGTAAACATGGAAGAGAAATCACAACATAATAAGATTAAAATGTTTTCATTCCTATATGGGAAGATGATACTTGTAATTCCTAAGAACTTTCTCATTATTAGGGCAGTTAGAAGGAGTATACACAGACAGAGGGGTACAGGTATGACTTGACTGTGATGGAATAATCTCAAAAAAAATTAAGGGGTGAGAAAGAAGGATGCACTGGGAGAAGGGAAAAGGGAGAGGAAGATGGGGGAAATTATCTCACAAAAGAAAAGATCCAGGAAGAGCTTTTACAGATGACATGAAATTGAGGGGAGTGGCAGGTAGTGCTTGAACCTTACTCTCATCAGAATTAGCTGAAAGAGTGAATAACATATTCTCTCAGTTGGGTATCAAAATCTAACTTACCAAACAAGAAAGTAGGAGGAAAGGGGGCTAAAAAGAGGAGGATTTATAGAAGGGAGGGCAAATTAAGGTAGATAGTGGTCAGAAGCAAAACAGACTTTTGAGGAGGGACAAGGTGAGGGGGAGAGAGAGAGAAAGGGGGGGGAGAGAGAGAGAGAGAGAGAGAGAGAGAGAGAGGGAGGGAGAGAGAGAGGGAGAGAGAGAGAGAGAGGGAGGGAGAGAGAGAGAGAGTTAATAATCATAACTGTGAATATGAATGGGATGAACTCACCCCATAAAACAGAAGCAGAAAACCAGGATCCAATAATATGTTGTTTGCAAGAAACACACTTGAAACAGAGGAACACACACAGATTAAAAATAAGGGGTTATTATATTATGCTTCAGCTAAGGTAAAAAAAAAAGGCAGGGGCAGCAATCATGATCTTAGACAAAGCAAAAGCAAACATAGACCTAATTAAAAGAGATGAGCAGGGAAACTACATTTTGCTAAAAAGATAGCATAGACAATGAAGTAATATGTAAACTAAACATATATGCACCAAATGGCATAGCATCCAAATTCTTAAAGGAAAATTTAAATGAGTTACAGGAGGAAATAGTAAAGCAATACTAGTGGCATATTAGCATATATATATATATACATATATATATATATGTATGTATACTAAACTGGAGGTATACTAGTATACCCCAACTTTCCCATCTTGGAACTAGATAAATCTAGTCACAAAATAAATAAGAAGGAAGTTAAAGAGATGAATATAATCTTAGAAGAGTTAGATATGATAGATCTCTGCAGAAAATTGAATGGTAATAAAAAGGAATATACTTTTTTTTTCAGCTATACATGCCACCTTCACAAAAATCAATCATATATTAGAGCATAAAACCTCGCAACCAGATGCAGAACAAAAAAAATGTTGAATACATCCTTTTCAGACCATAATGCAATAAAAATTATATTCAGTAAAGAAACTTGGAAACAGATTAAAAATTAATTTAAAACTAAACAATCTAATCCTAAAGAATGTATAGATCAAAGAACAAATCACAGAAACAATCAATAATTTCATGAAAGAGAATGACAATAATGAGACAACATACCAAAATTCATGGGATATAGAGAAAACATTACTTATGGGAAATTTTATATCTCTAAATGTTTACATCAATAAAATAGAGAAAGAGCTGATTAATGAATTGAGCGTACTATTAAAAAAACAAATTTTAAATCCTCAATTAAAAACTAAATTGCAAATCTTGAGGATTTCCAATCAAAGGAAATAATAAAAAAAACTAAGAAAACTATTGAACTAATAAAGAAAATTAGAAGCTGGTTTTATGGGGGAAAATAATAAAAAGATAAAAAATTAATTTAATTTTAAAAAGAAAGAAGAAAATCAAATTACCAGCATCAAAAATGAAAAGGGTGAATACACTATCAATGAAAATGAAATTAAAGCAATAAATAGTAAATATTTTGCCCAATTATATGCCAATAAATCTAACAATCAAAGTGAAATGTTTGAATATTTACAGAAATATCAACTATGCATATTAACAGAAGAGGAAATAAATATTTAAATAACCCTATTTTAAAAAAAATTGAACAATTCATCAACGAATTCCCTAAGAAAAAATCTCCAGGGACAAACTGATTCACAAGTGAATTCTACCAAACATCTAAAGAACAATTAACTCTAATACTATATAAACAATTTAGAAAAATAGGCAGAGAAAGAGTTCTACCAAATTCCTCTTATGTTAGGTACTGATACCTAAATCAGGAGGAGCAAAAACAAAGAAAGAAAACTATTGACCAATATCCCTAATGAATATTGATGTAAAAAATTAATTAAAATGCTAGCAAGGAAATTATAGCAATATATCACAAAAATCTTACACTATGAGCAGGTAGGATTTATAACAGGAATTCAGGGCTGATTTAATATTAAAAAAACTATCAGCATAATTGATCATATCAATAACAATAAAAACAAAAATTAGATGATTGTGTTAATAGATGAATGAAAAGCATTTGACAAAATGTAGCACTAATTCCTGTTTACACACACACACACACACACACACACACACACACATGAAATTATAGGAATAAATGGAGCTTTCCTTAAAATGATAAGTAGTATCTTTCTAAAACCATCCCCAAAAATTATCTGTAATGCAGATAAGCTAGAAGTCTTCCCAACAAATTAGGGGTGAAGTAAGGATCCCCACTACCACCACTATTATTTACTCTTGTACTAGAAATTTTAGTTATAGCAATAAGACAAGAAAATGAAATTGAAAGAATTAGAAAAAGCAATGAAGAAACAAAACTATCACTTTTTCCAGATGATGTGGTGGTATATTTAAAGAATCCTAGAGAATAAGCTAAGAAACTAATTGAAATAACTAAAAACCTAAGCAAAGTTGCAGGACATAATATAAACCCACATAAATCATTAACATTTCCATATAATGTTGGCAAAGTCCAGCAGGAAGAGATAGAAAGAAAAATTCCATTTACAATAACTGCAGACAATATAAAATACACAGGAGTCTAACGGCCAAGACAAACCCAGAAACTATGTGAACACAATTGCAAAACACTTTTCACACAAATAAAGACAGATCTAAACAACTGGAGAAATATTAATTGCATATGGATAGGCTAAGCCAATATAGTAAAAATTATAATTCTGCATAAATTAATTTACTTATTTAGTGCCATACCAAACAAACAAAAATTGTTTTATAAAATTAGAAAAAATAATAACAAAATTCATCTGGAGGACTTATGATGAAAAATGTTATCCACTTCCAGAGAAAGCATTGATGGGATCTGAATGCAGACTGAAGTATAATTTTTTTTACTTTATTTTTCTTACTCTTTTGCAACATGGCTAGTATGGAAATATGTTTTGCATGATTTCATATGTGTAACTGATGTCACATTTCTTGCCTTTGCAATGAGTGGGAAAGAGAGAGAATTTGGACCTCAATATTTTTTTCTAAATTAATGTTAAAAATAGATAATAAATTTTAAAAGAAATAAAAAATAAAGACAAAAAGAAAAAAAAAGAATCTTTCCTCACTCTCCCCTTCAGCATATATACCCTCAAGTATCATTTACCCAAGTTGTTCATGGAAGAGGGGGAAGATTTAGGCACCTGCTATCTGATGAAAGTGCTTTGAGAATGGGAAAATACTACCTAGATGTGAGCTGTTATTATTATTGACAGAAACTACTTAAAATTTTTCTCTGTGCAATGTGTGGCAGAAGGACTAAATTGCCTCACTGAAGGATACTACCAAATTAAGCCAAATTAACAGAACAATATGCAAAGTTCCAATGCTTATCTTGCCAATAATAATACTTGTCACAGATTTTCTCAGTGATGTTGCTTCTCATTATAATATCAAAACTACATACAAAATAAAGGAAATCAACCAATACCCTTGAGGTTTGGGTGTATTGCTCAGTGGAAACCATTGTGTAAGTGGTTTATATATACACTCTACATTTTAGTTTAAGGTTATAAAAATTAAGTGGCTTCCTATTGCTTATGAGATAGAATAGAAACTTTTAAACCTAGTGTTGAAGATTTCTTTAACTCTAGTTTTTCAAACTTTTTTCACACTGTTTATGTCTATTTCCTATTCCTCTTTATTGTAAGCTACCTGAGGTCAGGTCCTGAGTGGTTGTTCATCTTTATATTCCCAGTACTGATCACAGTGCTTCATGTATAGCAAGGCACCTAATGAATGTTTGTTGCATTGATTTGAATTTGCTTGTATTTGTTTATGTCATTTCAGATGATGGGAAGTTGTCCTTTGAAGAATTCAAAGCCTATTTTGCAGATGGTGTTTTGAGTGGGGAAGAATTGCATGAGCTCTTCCATACCATTGATACACACAATACCAAGTAAGGAGGCCTTTTTATCAATGAAGTTTGTAAATGAATACATATGACAAGAAGGAATTTTGCTATGATCAGCTGGTTTTAATCCTATAATTATGTAACTGAGAAAAATCATAATTTCAGCACTTGAAATACTCTGAAAACCTTGTTTTGAATCAGAAAACAAAGATATCTGCCATCAGTCTTCTTGCCTTGGTTGAGGTGCAGTTTAGAATATGCCTCCTTTACAGAATATGAAGCAGGATCTTAGATTTTTAAACATTTTTACTCCTTTTACTAATAGGAGAGCAGAATATTCCCAGAATACTTCTTTTTGACCTTTTCATGGTCAAAAACTTTTCATGGGCCAAACTCCCATTAGCAAAGTGAAATGGAAAATTGAGACAATTATTTGCACAGTTTTGGCCTTTCTATCCTTATATCATTCTTATCAAAAATATCTCAGCAGCACAAACATTGAATTTTTGCTTGGATTATCTATAATTGCCTATATCCTCCATTTCACTTTGTGTTTGAGGATGTCTCTTTATTTTATTAGAGAGTCCAAAATTATCCTATTTATGCTTTAGGATAATAGTGCTAACAAATAATGTAAAATGGAAAAAAATGAATACTATAGAGATGTACTTAGTTTTGTCTGTTATAATACTAACACTTATATAATATGTTAAGGTTTGCAAAACATTTTCCCAACAACAATCCTGCAGGGTAGGCTGCATCTTATATTGCTATCCCATCTTACAAACAAGGAAAGAAACAAATACTAAACATCAGAGCAAGTATTTTAATCAGATCTCTGACCAAGTCAAATATGCTCCCCTCTATATCAAACTGATTCACCTGACTATTCAAAATAGAATTACATTAATTGGAACAGCAATTGGATATGGGAAGTCAGTTATAAAGGGAGTATGATTTTAAATTAATTGTTTTAGTCCCACCAACGTTTTTACTTTCTGGATCACTCAATACCTTGCTTCTGTATTGGCAAGTAGGTGGTGCAATGGATAGAGTGCTAGGCCTGGAGTCACAAAGACCTATGTTCAAATCTAGCCTCAGAAACTTTCTAGCTATGTGACTCTGGGCAAGTCACTTAACCCTGTTTGCCTCCATTTTCTCATCTGTAAAATGAGCAAAGGAAATAGCAAACCACTTTGACATTTTTGCCAAGAACCCCCTCCCCACCAAAAAAAATGGGGTCATGAAGAGTCAGACATGATTGAACAACAACAAACCTTAAACCTATGACCTGGTCTTAGTGTCCTCATCTATAAAATGAAGGAATTAGACTAGATGATCCTAAAGGTTTCTTCTGTATCTCAATCTATGATTCTGTGATAGGTCTAGAGACTAGGTCTGTAACTTATTTAGTATAAGGAACTCTCAGATGAAGAAACTCCCTGTACCAGGTCAGCACCTTTTCTACAACATATAGTGTTGGAGCACTAAAATGTTAAGTGACTTCCCTAAGGTCACACAGCCAGTCTGTAAAAAAAGCATGTCTTGAACCCAGATCTTCCTGGTTTAGAGGCCAGTACTCTATCCATAGATGAGGATAAAATGATCCTTTGCTCCCATTCAAGCACTCAAGGTAGGAAGGCATACTGAGTACAGGATAACTTTTATTTTATTTCACAGAGAACGCAAGAGACACAAAAAGAACTCGTTAGTGTTCAACCATTTTTCAGTCATGTTTGACTCTTCACGATCCCCTTTGAGGTTTTTCTTGGTAAAGATACTGGAGTGGTTTGTCATTTTCTTCTCCAGCTCATTTTACAGATGAGGAAACTGAAGCAAACAGTGTTAAGTGACTTGTCCAGGGTCACACAGCTGGCAAGTATCTGAGGCCAGATCTGAACTCAGGAAGATGAGTCTTCCTGATGCCAGGCCCAGCACTCTGTCCACTGCGCTATCTAGCTGCCCAAAAGAACTCATAGTAGCCCACACATATTTGATAGAATTTTTTCTTCTTTTCTGCTGAAATTCACCTCATTCCTAAGTCCCTATATAATCTACCCAAAACATGCCTGCACCCTGTGGTTTGGAGTCATCACAGAAGGAAAATAAACTTGGGGTGGCTAAAGAAGTAACCCTGAGCTGGTGATGCCTAGGAAATTTCTTGTTCTCTTATTGAAAATGATAGATTCCAGAACTCTTTTTTTGAGGGGGGGGGCTGGGGTGGAAGGAGAGGGAATAAGTAAAATTTTATAAGTTACATCTAAAATTGTGCCTTCTGTCAAATCTTGCATTACCTGTATATACATTACAATATAAGTATTGATTAATATAGAAAGGCAAGGAAAGACATACATGAAACAAGGTGAAGTAAGCTGAATCAGGAAAGTAATGACTATAGCAATGTAGATGTAAAGGATGACAACAGTAACAACAGAACAATTGAAAATGAATGCTACAAAATCAAGTAGTTCAGTTTTGTGGAATTCCCCCCCCCTTTCCTTTTTTATACTGTTTTGCAAGGGGCAACTATCTGGGAGGGAGTGGGCGGCAGGTATATAGTGGAAAATACAGGTGATGTAAAAACAAAAGATATCAATAAAGTTTTTAACCCATAATATAAATAGACCTTGAAGAATAGCTATTTTTAAAAGGCATTTCAAATAAAATATGCTAAAATGCTTAATTTTATTTAGTTTATTTTTGGTAATATTCTAGAATTTTCATGGATGCAGCATTTGCTAGATTCTCTGTCCATTGGCTTTTGCAGGAAGATTGCTATGGAACTTGGCCTGAATCATGTCACAGTGTCCATGAACACAAGTAGCCCTTTCCCCAGGTCATTCTGGTTTTGTTGGGTTTATCTCTAGGAGTCACTGTATTGTTTTTCACTTTGTCTACATGGGTACATCTCTTGCCTAAATAGAATTCAATTTCATCCTAAAAATAAGCTCCTTTAATTTTAAAAAGAACTATGTGTTCCCTCTGTTTTGTAGGTTTTGCTTGTAGCCAGTAAAAATGGCCTTAGACCACAGTCTTCCAGACTTTTTGCTCTTATAGAAGTACTGTCTCTAGCAGATCTCCCAAGCTCAAGAACTCTTGAATTTATGGTTGCTAGAGGGTAATGCTCAGCCCAGAACTATTTAGTAATTTCCTTTCTCTCTCTAGTTGTCTGAGGTTTAGGAACTTCCACTACTTGGACACATGGTTGGGAACTTTTTCCATTACCACCTTCTTCTACTGCTGCCTCTCCAGGGCTGGGTACAGTCACTTAGATTCTAGAAACTTAGGTGCCCCAGAACAAGGGGCGTGAAGGTAGATGTTTAAGAATCAGCTCTCCATGAAAAACAAATGAATGCATTAAACACTTTTAAGTTTAGTCTTAACTTTCTCACTTTCTCACTTTATTAAGGCGACAAAATGATAAATCATGACCATTTTTAGGGTTTACTGATTTCTGAGAGTTGGTAGGAGCTGGTTCTGGTATATCCTTGCCCAGAATCCTCATTATTCTTCCACTGTCCACCTACTTGCCATCTCTTGAGCTTAGAGAGTACCATCTCTAGGGCTGGGTGGGTAGGTAGGGAGGATTGTCCCTTGGTCTTGGGAGCTATGCTGATATGCAGGTACATCCCAGGGACCAAAGTCTACTCATCTTCTCTCAGTTCTCTGATTTCTGACTTTGTTATAAGGGACATGAGTATGAATTCAACTTTAAGTTCAATCAATCAGGATTTATTCTTCTTGGAACACTCAGTATCTTGCTTAAGTAGCCATGTTGAGAGAGTTCTAATCACAACTCATAAAAGGGGCAGGAAAGCCAGAAAAGGACCAGGCCTGCAGTGAAGACTTTTTTAATAGACCTAACACAAAGAGGTGCCTCACAACACTTCAAACCTACCAATTCATTCAGTATTAATCCACAAGAGTCCAAGCCAAACAAATAATCACAGATTCAGTCAAGGACCTAAACAAAGACTCACTGCTCTGTAAATCCATCAATGTGATTAGAGAACTACTCCCAAGTAACATAAAGTAATATCTTAAGGGTCAAAAGACTAGTAAATACAGCAACTATTATAGGAATTCAGAGGATAAAGATTACTGTTGGCTGGGAGAGCTGGGAAAGACTTCGAAGAGGAGATAAGATCTGAGCTGGTATTTCAGGTAGAGGATAGAGGATATCTATAATTGCCTATATCCTCCACAGGCATTATTATCTCCATTTTACAGGTGAGAAAACTGATGCATAGAGAAGGTTAGGTGATCATGGGAGGCCACAACCAGTAAATGGCCTTGAGGAGTATAATGAGCATAGTATTATTGCAGTCCAGCCCTGCCTCAGACTGGTCTGGTAGCTCAGGTTTGAGACTAAAATGAAACAAAACATTTGAATATTATTTGGCAATTAACCAAATGACGTTTACTTATCCATAGTCTGAATGGGATACTCAGTAATGATACAGCACTTTGTCAAATAGAAGTACTCCCCCTCAATTCCATAAAGAAATGTGTTTTTTCAGCAGGGCAGGATTGGAGGTACAAGAACTGCCAAGTGTAAAAGATATTGATCCCTCATGGGCTGACCTCTTCTATTCCCTTAGGTAATCAGCAATCCACACCACAACCTTGAGTCTTAGCACTCGACACCAGTGAAATCTTGGTACACTTTCCTTGATTTTTAGGGAAAAACTAGTCTAGACTAGGTGGCAGAAGACCGTGATCAATACTGTTCTTATTAAGCCTGTCCCAAGAGAGGAGAAAATCATGAGTAAAGACATGTACTGCACCACTCTTGGATAATAATGTTTTGGTTAATTAGTTAAGCTCCAAGAATAAAGAAGTTAATAACTCTTGTCATTTGAAAAAGTGGTATTTCTTCATGTCTAAACATACTCCTTGGAATAACAGAGGTGCTGGGAAGAACAGGAGCTAATAAATGCCATTCTGGAATATATTCTTGAGAAAATAAGGACAGAGCAGAAGACTTCTTTTGTGATGCAAATATTGCATAATATGAGTGTTGACACTTAAAACTATAGTAGTCC